TTGACGTCATCAGTGGTCAGTCATATTCTAACCTGTACCCTTGATATGATGTGATGAAAATGGCCCCTTCCTCTTTGGTCTTCCTCCCCCAAATGCATAACCTCAGTCCAATCATGGGAAAAACTTCAGACAAGCCTGTGTTGAGGGACATTCTACAAAATACTTGACCAGTACACCTCAAAACGAACAAAGTCACCACCAATAAGAAAAGTCTGAGAAACTGTCACAGTCTAGAGGAGTCTAAGGGGGCATGACGACTAAATATAATAAGTTTTCTTTGAGGGGACCCTGGAACAGAAAATGGCTATTAGGTAAAAACTAATATAAATAGTGTATTATTAAATTTAAGTAATATTAGATTTTATATTATATTTATAAGAAAATATGAATAAAGTATGAACTTTAATAATACTGTACAATATTGGTTCATTGGTTGTGAAAAAATATATTTAATATAAATAGGGGAAACTGGGTGCAGGGTATATGGGAACTCCTTTGAAGCTTTTCTGTAAATCTAAAACTATTCTAAATTAAAAATGTATTTAATAAAATAAAATAGAGGAAGGAAATACCATATCTTATTAATGGAAATGCAAAATGGTACACCCACTTTGGGAAGTTGTCTGGTAGTTTCTTATAAAGTCAAACATATACTTACCCTATGACTTGGTAATTCCATTTCTTGGTAATTATCCAAGGGAAATGAAAACCTATGTTCACACCAAAACTAGTGCACAGACACTTTTACGATGGCTTTATTCATAATTGCCAAAAACTAGAGACAATTCAAACATCCCTCAAATAGTGAAAGGACAAATGAACTGTGGTACCTTCACACAGTGGAATATTATTCAGCAATAAAAAGGAACAAACTATCAACACATGCAACCACATGGACAACATGAATCTCAAATGCCAAGTCGAAGAAGCCAAACTCAACAGTCTGCATACTCTGTGAATCCACTTATATGACATTTTGGAAAAGGTAAAACCAAAGGGGCATAAAACAGATCTTGTCAGGTTCTGGGGATTGGGGGAGGTGATGGACTACAAAGGGCCATGGGAGAATAATGGGAAGTGATGGTGTTGTTCTACGTCTTGATTGTGGTTGTGGTTGTGGTTATATGACTATATATTTATCAAAACTTACAGAACTAAACACTAATGAAGGTGAAATGTACTGTGTGTAAATTATATCTTAATTAAAAATGAAGTCAGGTGTGATGTCCTACGCCTGTAATTTCAACTAATCTGGAGACTGAGGCAGGATGATCACTTGAGCCCAGGAGTTCGAGGTTGCAGTGAGCTATGATTGTGCAACTGCACTGCAGCCTGGGTGGCAGAGTGAGAGACTCTGTCTCTAAAAAAAGAAAAAGAAAAAAAAAAAAAAGAAGAAAACGACTCAAGGATGATTGCCACTTTACAAAATTATTCTCCAAGGGATTTGTTTAAATAGCACTCTCACCTATTGCCTTTTCAGTGATTTCATTTCCAAATGTTTAGCTTGCCAAAAGGGCACTTATGTGGTTTTATTACTGTGCTGCTTGCTGTCTGGAGGCTCAAAACTGGGAGCCATCATCAAGGGACATAGACACAAAGAGCTGAGACAAAGAAGCTAGCACAGAGGACAGCTAGGCTCCTGTCTTAACAATGATTGCATTAGCTAAGTGCTTTATAGTCACCTGCTTTTGATTATATCGTGAAGCTGATTAGACCTTACTTTTATGAGCCTTCCAGTTTACAAAGCTCTCTCATATGGGTGCACTCATGTGATCCACACAATACCTGGGCCACTTAGGTGGGACAAGTGTTATTTCCATTTTAAAAGGAGAGAGAGGTGCTAAGAGTTCTCCTACCTCTGTGTGCCTGCACTCTCTTGACCTGCTTCACAGGCTGGGCAATTTTAAATGCGTGGTAATTTGGTGTGATAGATATAACTATATTTTACAGATAGGGCACATAAATTATTTTACAGATAAAGAAGCTGAGGATCTGGGAATTTCCCAAGGTCATTCACCTAAGAAGGACCAGAGCCAAGAGTTCAGAACTTGGATGTCCTGATTCCAGGCCTACTTCTCTTTGTGCTGTCTTGTATGCTGGCTATAGGATTTGTAAGCAGAATGTATTTAAGTTAGGGATATTTTGTTGCAAGTCTTCATGTTGTTAATGTATCTGTGAATGGAGAGTTTTAATTGGCTTCCATTATTAGAGCCAGATTATTATAAGTAAAGACTACTTTAGTCACTGTCATTTTTACTAGTGACTTTGGGAGCTTGGAAGACGATGGTGCAATGTTTGTGTTCCTCTTGGCTTCTTATGTTGGGAGAGTGTCTGAACGCATGAGCACTCTGTGTGTGTTGGGAGCTGTGACTTCCAGAAGAAAGAGATCACCAATGTAAACATAAGAAGAGGGGTGATTTTTCAACATACACTAGAACGTTATATCAAAGTGAGCATTTTTTCTTTTAGTTGCTTTGAGTGGACATTTAATTTGGTTACTTTTTAGTTATGTCTCATTTTTATGCAAAATAGTAATGCCACCTTCCGAATCAGATTTAGCTTAGAATTGCTTTTCCTTGTTTCCTTCGTGGTCTCTGAGCTCCTCCTGGGCAGAGCTGAACCTTCTCCTCAGCGTGTCCTCAGTATCTAGCACGGAGCCCGGCCCATTGGCACTGTTTAGACTTTGTTTGTTGAGTAGGACTGAACCAAGACTTATTCATCAAAACCTTGACCATAATTGGGCGGGAGGCTCAGGAAAAGTCCTTCCCCGGCCCCTCAAATTTCTCTTCAGAATCCCTATTGAGTGTTATCATCCGTCAGCCCATCCTCAGTTTTCCTTGTCAACAGCTTGAAAAATCTTTTAAAAATACCCTTAAGGGGCCGGGTGCAGTGGCTCACGCCTGTAATCCCAGCACTTCGGGAGGCCAAGGCGGGCAGATCAGATCACAAGGTCAGGAGATCGAGACCATCCTGGCCAACACGGCGGTGAAACACTGTCTCTACTAAAAAAATACTCACATACACACCCAAACTTAGCCGGGCGTGGTGGCACGTGCCTGTAGTCCCAGCTACTCGGGAAGATGAGACAGGAGAATCATTTGCACCTGGGTGGCGGAGGTTGCAGTGAGCCAACATCGTGCCACTGCACTCCAGCCTGGGCAACAGAGCGAGAATTCGTCTCCAAAAAAAAAAAAAATACCTGTAAGGAAAATGTTAGTGTGTGAGTGAAACTAAGAATTAATACTGAAGGAAAATGAAAGAAACTCTAATCTCTCTTGATGTTTGGCCTAATTTAGAAGAACGTGAATGAGTCTTGTTCCAGTCCCATCAGAAATAGGTTCACATGTTCCTATTCCTTCAGAATGGCCACAAGGTGTAGTTACCTTGTTCCCACTGTGTGATGGAAAGCCTGTTGGGCTAAGAGTCTAGCAACAGGATTCTATCCCTAAGTCTGTGCAAACCTGAATCTATTGCTTGTTTACATAATCTGTAAATGCAAGTGCTAATTACTAAGTGAATTCAGCTATAACACTCATGCCCACCACAATTTATTAAGCCAACTCCACCTGTTGCTCAGTTGCAGGCATGAGAATTGTTCCTCTTCTCACATCCCTTCAGGCTCACTCCCAAGATAACCCTCACTCCCAGACTGACCAGGGATTCTTAAACCTTTTGGTGTGTGGGTGTCATCTGTGTTTCCTTCGCCTGTGAGCCCCCCAGGAGTGGTGATCTTGTCAGTTTTCTTCTGCCTCCCACTGTGCCTGGCACCAAGATCAACGCACAGTGGGCCCTAGAGGGATTTCTAGAAAGAAATCTTTTAGGATAAGGAGGTCCTTCGCTTACAGTACAAGCTTTCAAAGGCTAGATGGCACTGTTGCTAGCACCAAATCAGGTGTGTTCTGAGTATCAGTGGTGAGGAAGGGAGAGGAGAGAGCAGGGGCCCTGGAGCGCTCACCGCTGAGCCACATTCAGACACCTTGCAGAAGTACTGGTGGATTCTTGCCGTACTGGCAGGGAGTGCTTTGCCATATTCTCGGCACCTTCACAAACACGGCTTCAGATGGTCTTCCCAGCTACCTTGTGTAGTAGGCAGGACAGCTGTATCCATTCTAATTTTATAGAACTGCAGCTCAGAGGAATCAAGTGCCTGAACTAAATTTATACAGCAGAGCTGTTTAATTAGCAGAGCTGTTTGCCATTCATAGCTGTTGGCAGCCCCTCCCCTGTCCCCCACCAAATGAGGGTCCTCAGAGCATGCTGAAGGAGGACTCTGGTTAGTGATACAATTGTCCCAGGATAATGGCCTGGGTGAACTGGACCCAGTCCAAGGGGAAAAAGGTAGGATTCTCAGCCAAGTTGATTGAATGGATCAGCTTAACCTGTACCTCAAAATGTTTGGATTTGTGACAAGGGAGAGCACGTAATACTACATGTAGCCTGTTTGAAGAACAAAACTGTGGTAATTTGCACAATTATTAGGCTCTAAGATCAGTGGTTGATGTTTTATTTAACAGATGATCTATTTATGGGATGCTGCCCTGTGGTTGGGTTGTTATCTGTCATTTGTCCATTGCTTTACTGTATTCACATGTTTCTTACTAAAACAAAACAAACAAAACTGTCCTGTGCAGTAGGCAGGGCAGGTATCACTACTGTGCCCAGTTTACAGATGAGGAAATAAAAGGTCAGAAATGTTAATAAGAGACATATCCAGGATCACACAGCTGATAAGTGGTTGAATTAGAACTTCAGCCCAGTGTGAGGCTGAAATAAAATCTTATCCTTTTTTCATTGTAATTTTTCCAGGCTATTCCAGCTTATCTAGAAATTATAAAATTAGGAGAGTTGTTGATAATATGGAGAGTAAGTCATCAGTGACTAGAAATATATCTATATAGGGTGATAATGATTAATCATATGCAAATATATGCAAATTGAGAGCAAATTAATATCTGTTATTTGTGACTTCTGATTGTCTCTGCTCTCCTGTTTCTCCCCAGGATGATGAAGATAAACTGACCTGGAAGGATCGTTTCCCAGGTTACCTGATGAACTTTGCCTCCATCTTATTCATGGTAATTTCTTTGAGGGACCACTTGGCTGTGACTGCATGCATGTAGATGCTGTTATGTGACTATTGTGGATATTATATTCTGCTAGGAAAATCATGAGAGGTTGGTAAAGGGAGAGCCACAGTCCTGTGTAGAGGGGCCGGATCTTGTCTGATAGTGAGGCCATTGACCACACAGGCTGGAAGTTGGAACTCCCGGGGAGTAGGTTACCAGATGGTTCTTCCACATCGAGACAGACCAGAAACTTGGAGAAGGAATCAGGTAAGATGGCTGCAATTGCAGCAGCCTGTTTGGGCTGTGGGGTGGCTCTCTCTGACGTCTGTGGATAGACCAGAGTCTGAAAGCCACAGGAGATAGCCAGCTTGGGCTTGGTAACTGTGATTCTTCAGCTTTCCTATAGTTGCTGGGTTTATTTCCTTGTACTGTACCTTAGAGTTTGGTACAGCCCTTTTGCAAGACCCAGATGGTCTCAGCTGTGTCAGGGAAAGCTGAGGGAAAATCCTGTGATTCCTATTTGAGTTAGATCAATAAGGTGGTAGCAGTTTATTCTTGTTTGCCAGCATGGGCAAGACAGCAGTACCTGAAACTAGAGGACAATGTTAGGGTTACTAATACCCCGTATCTCTTTATGAAAATATTCCTTACGGTATTCAAGATTGGAGGTTCTGCTTTACAAAGGAGTGTGTGTACTCACAGCTCAGAGCATTTCTAAGTAGGCCTACATGTTAGTTGCAGGGTGGAAGAGGGATCACTTATTCCAAAAATTGGTCTGGAAATTGTTGTAACTCTGACTGTGGCCTGAGGGTTTTTTTTTTTCTTTTTTTTTTTTGGTCATTATTTTTGCCATCATGACCTTTAAGTACAGGAACTGTGTTTTCGTCTCAGAAATGTAAAAGGTGAAGGAAACTTAGATATCACCAATTCAACTCCTCATTTTTCAGATGAAGTACAGAGTTGATGGATGCCTTGCCACAGCTTAGAAGTCTAAATTTGCTTTCTTTTCATTGCTTAACAAGTGCAAGGCATGTGGAATTTATTCAAGAATATGTGGTGAGTTGCCGTGTGTTAAGCTGTTATGACATAAAGTTTAATTTAGCACTTCAAAGCCTCCCACAATATGCATATTATTGTTAAAGAGTTTATTCCTTCATTCAATATTTAATGAGTCAAGCGATGTGCTTGACACCATTCTTAGACACTGGGGATACAGCAGAAAACAAAACAAAATAATCCCTCTCTTAAAAAATTTGCAGACAATAGATAAGTAAATAAATAATAATAAATAGGTAAAATAGACTTCTGTCTCCCGTAGTAGTAGGTTAGGATATTTGTAACTTCCCATTTTGCTAAAATTTACAAAAAAAATTGAATGAATATATTTTTCAATCTTCTCAAAGTCTCAAAGGGCTGACAGAATAGGAAGTAATACCAGAGGCTAAAATCTAAAGGAAAATGGGAACCAAGGAAACAAATGCCTGGGCACTAGAGCTACTTTTACCTTGAGAACATTTGCCCGTCTAGGCAAACCTAGGCTTTGGTTTTGGCGGTTTTATGGGAGCAAGCAGGATAGAAATTAGGGATGACGGATGGCCCCAAGTGGGGATTGTAACAGGATGTCCTCACCAAATTGAATCAGAACTCCAAAGGGCTATGTTCAGAGTAAAGATGAAACTGAACTATACACACCCTTTCCCACTTATGAGACTACAGAAAAAAAATTGTTATGGATCTAAGCAGAAAAGGGAGGAAAGGGGAAACAAAACTCTGTCCTTAAGAAGTGGCCAGGGGCAATCCCTATTGTGGCTTTCTATCCTGGGTCACCACGTAAGAGGATCAGGGAACCTCAGGTTGTGAACTTAACACTAGTAGGGCTCCCAGGTGCCCAGAAGAAGCAAATACAAGCTCTCTCTGTAGGGAAGCATATTTATGCCAGGCCTCAAAAAGTCACCCAAAATAATTTTTCAAGGGCAATGAAGAGAACACAGTCAAAAACAACTAATTGCTCAAGAAATTGAAGCACCATGTGAAAGAACCAGCGGGAACACACAGCAAAGACCAGAGATATTGAAATTATCAGTCACAGGTTAAAACAGCAAACTTAAAAATATACACAAGGAATAAGAAACTATTTTGAAAATTATCTAGCAGATGTGAAAACTAACCAATAAACCTCTATCTGCTAGAAATAAATATATATATAGAAATTAACAAAAATATTGTTATATATATGATTTTTATATACCATGTATATATGTGTATATATATGTGTATACACATATATACATGGTATATAAAAATTTTGAAATGTATGTCAGGTCACACACACCCACGACCATGGATAGATTTTGTTTTTTTTCTTGAGACAGTCTGATTCTGTCACCCAGGCTGGAGTGCAGTGGCGCAATCTTGGCTCACTGCAACCTCCGCCTCCCGGGTTCAAGCGATTCTCCTGCCTCAGCCATGGATAGACTTAACAACAAGTTAGACAAAGCTGAAGAGAGAATTTATAAACTTCTATACAGGCTGGAATAAATTATCCGTAATACAGTATAGCGACACAAAAAATTGGCAATATGGAAGACAGGTTGAAAGAGAACAGGTAATGAATGAGATGAGATATAAGGACTGGTGGTTTCCTAAGTTGTTGCAGAATGCCAATCCACAGATTGAAGAATCCCAATGAAACCCAAGCAGAAAAGGTAAAAAGAAATCTGTATCTAGATATATCATAGTGAAATTGTAGAATATATGAGACACAAGAAAAGTCTCAAAAGCAGCCACAAATCCAAAGGCAAATTACCTTCAAAGGAAAGACACCTGGACTGAAAACTGATATTTTATAGCACATTGGAAGTCAGAATACAATGAAAAGCCCTCTTCATGTGCTGAAAACAAAACAATTTCTAACTGAGAATTCTGTGCCCAAGAAAAACATCATGTAGTGATAAGGATGAATTAGAGATATTTACAGACAAATAAAAACTGAGAGTTTGCTATCAACTGAATCTCTCATTAAAAGAAATTCTAAGAATGTGCCTTGGATATGATCCCATATGGAAGACCATGGTTTTAGAAGGGAATGAAGAGCTTTTAAAGTGGTAAGTATGTGAGAAAACCTATGTGAACCTTGACTGTAAAAATAATGATGCCAATTTTCATGAAGTTAAAGAAGATAGAACTAAAATATATGCAACAATAATATGTAAGTTGGGTGGGCAATAAATAGAACAATAATGTTCTAAGGTCTTTAGATTGTCCAGTCGATCAACTGATTTTAAGATTTATATGGAAGCACAAAGGCTAAGAAGAGTCAACAAACTCTTGAAGGATGGATATGTTACTCTAATTATAAAACTACAATAAGTAAGATAATGTTATATTCTTGTAGGAAGAGATAATTAGACCAACGGAACAAAATAGAAAACCAAGAACCAGATTAATGAAAGTGGCACTGCATATAAATGGGGGAAAGAATGAACTTCTCAGTAAATGCTTCTGGGACAGTTGGGTGTCCATACAGAAGAAAATAAAACTGGGCCTTATTCACACAACTCAAAAACATCAATTCTAGGTGTATTTTAAAGATGAACTGTGAAAGGGAAAACAATCAAGTTTTTAAATATATAAGAAAAAAATATTTTCATGACCTTGGGGTAGGGAAGAATTTCTTGAGAAAGATACAAAAAGCACAACCATAATAAAATGCTGGTAAATTTGACTATATTAGAATTAAGAATTTAAGTTCATAAAATGCCTAATAAACTCTGTGAGAAGACAAATTACGAGAATGGGATAATGTATTTGCAACAACTATAACTCAAAGAATTACTCTTAACATATATAAAGAATTAAAAAACATGGAAAAAGGTAATTCAGTACGAAATAGGAAAAAGATGAATATGTACTTCACAAAAGAGAAAATCCAAATGGCCAATAAACTTATAAAAGAGTACCCAATCTCATTAGTAGTCCTGGAAATTCTAATTTAAACCACAATGAGATACCATATATGCCCAAAAGTCTGTAAATAACAAGTGTTGGAAAAGATCAAAAGAGCGTCTTAAACTCTCCTATTGGGAGTATAAGGTGAAAAAACAAAACACTTTGGATATAGTTTGGCATTATCTAGTGAAACTGAAAGTTTCTGAGAAGTTCTACTCCTGGGTATCTGTCTTAGAAAAACTTGTGTCCATGAGCAGCAAAATACATGTACAAGGATGTCTGTGGAAGCCCTGTTTATAATAACTCAACCTGGAAACAGCCCAAATGCCTGTCACCACCAGAATGGATACATAAATTGAGGCATATGTATACAATTAAATACTATACAGTCATGAAAATGAGCAAACTAATAGCTATGTATAACATCAAGGGTGAAAAAAACAAGGTGAAAGAATATATACAGTTTGAATCTACTCATAGTGTTCAGAGACAATACTCAACTATATAGTTTAAGGATGCATACCTCGGTGTTAAAACTATCAAATGAGCAAGAGAATGATTATCACAAAATTCTGCACAGTGGTTAGATCCAAAGGAGCAGCAAGGATGGGAGGCCATGTGTGTGTACTGGGGAGAAGGGAATTCAAAGCTGCTGGCAGTGCTGGTCTGGGCTATACTGGTGTTTGTTTTATTCAGTGTGTGTGTGTGTGTGTGTGTGTGTGTGTGTATAAAATGGATTTTTCTGCATGTTCACAATAAAATTTAAGAAGACACAAAATGCATATATTAAATGGGTTGGTCAGGTAAGTTCTCATTAAGGTGACGTTTTATCAAAGATCTGGAGGAGGTGGAGGAGCCAGCCACATGGATATTCTAGGGGGAACATTCTGGGCAGAGGAAACAGCAAGAGAAAAGGCCCAAGGGGAGCAATGCCTGGCATCAGGAGAGACAGCAAGAAAGAGCCACAGTGTGGCTGGAGCTGAGCACCCTGCAGGGGGTAGTGCAAATGGGGACACAGTTAGAGAAGTAATGAGGAGCCCTGTAATTAGGGCCCTGGAGGC